CCGGTCTCTGACGAGGCCTTTTTGTGTGTGGAATGTGACTGGGACGGGAGTTAGAGTAATATTAGGTAATGATTAGAGAGGCAAGTCACATTTATTGTTCAGTGTGGCCGCCAAGTTGTGCTCCACACCACAGAGCAAATTATTTGGGGGCAAATGTGGGTGGGGAAGCACACACTCATCCCTTATGTGCAAGTCACTTTGTGATTAGTTCACTGTGTTCACTACTCCCAGTCGCATTATACCTTGTCTCGTGAGGTCGGCTTGGCTAGTGTATGAGAGTGGCTTACTTCTAGTGGAGGGGGCTGACGGCAGTGGTTTGGCGGAGGGGTCTCATGGAAGAATTTGGTGAAGGGGGGGGGGGTGTTTACTGGACGGATCTGATGGAGTGGTGAGATGGCGGGGATTGGGGAGTGGTGTGGCAGATTAGTCTGGTGCAGTGGCTGGCTTGGCATTATGTGTGTAGCTTATGACCAGAGGTTCATAAATGTCGTCCCAGGAGTAGAATGTCATCGCAGCCTGGGGTGTTGGGTGAGAGTTTACCTGCTACACTCTTAATTCATGAACACTTGTCATGAAACAAGGCGGAAATGTTTATGTAGAGTGTACGCCGCATGTCTGAGGTGTCGCGTGCTCGTTGCTGTTACCGGCCCTAATGCTTCTTGGTATTCCCAACACTTGGATCATTATACCTCCACCACCGAGGCGTAGCCGTAGCTGAGTAATGTGTTATAGCGCTTGTGAGCGTGTGTGCTGGGGTCTCCTCCGTCACACTACACACTGCAAGTCAACCAACCATTGTGTTCACATTATTGTGTATTTTTACCTTTCGTGGGATGACGGACGATTAATATCGTTATTTTAAGTGCATTCCTTTAGTAGCAGTAGTGATGTACGGCGGTTCAGCGCCCTCGGGAAACACCAGCACTTATATTGGTGTTGCTGTCAGACTGGGTCGTACACACTGGTGGCTCCAGGGGGCGCTGCTGTGTTGGTCATTATGCATCACTCACATAGTTACTCAACCTGCTGACCAAGGTGTTGCGTGCAGTGTCCCTGTTACGACCCTGGGTTCTCCAGTGGAAACCAGAGGTCAAAATTGAGCTATTAAACTTTCTGGTAGTACAGTTGAGTGCATCACGAGCGGCAATTGTTTGTATCTTCCCTGCCAGACGTAAGACTATTCTTGTTTCTCAAAGAGCATTTAAAGACTGAACTGGGGGGTTGATTATTAAATAATAACATAGGCACCAACTTTGCTTACTAATACTTTCTAATCGTTTGTAAAGTAACAATACGTTGCATAGGGGAAGATCTTTAATGTGCTTAGCTGCACGATCAATTAGGCTCCTTCCGGCACCACGACATGCGGGAGGCCTAGCTGGTCGCTAGGAGCGTTCTTCTCTGGCTGGCGTTCGTGGGGACGAGACCTACTCTGTGGCTGCACCCCTACTCTCCTCCCTTCTCCTCTTACTTATTTCCCTTACCTGAAGTTCCTGTACCATTAAGTTAAGTACGGGGCATTTTTAAGTGTACCTACTCTGGTAGTAACGATTGGTGAGACCTGGGGGTAGTATTTGCCAGTGTTTTGGGGACCCCTAAGTGTTGTGTTTTGTATTAGGGTACCACGTGGTCTCACTACCCTAAGCTGCATCCAGCTTCATTGCTTATCCAGTAGTACTTTACCCTAGCTTGTTCTCAGTGTAAACCTTGTATCCTGCCTAAGTGGACCAAGGCTTTTTAACGTAAGGTAGTGTGGTAAAGTTATTATTATTATTGTTATTGGTGTGAGTGTATATGGGGGGTTGTTAAGGGGTTAATAAATAAGTACATGAATTATAGGAGTATCCCTTCTTCCTGTATGGGAGTGCATTGATCAACCCTTAGACTGACATATATGGTCTAGTAGCAAGGTATTATTACTGTGGATAGTTTATTTTGGGGGCCGGGCCTTTTAGCTCTCCCATATTTGATACTCTGTCTTCTAACTACCCTTACCCCTTAATAGTACCAGTTCCCCATAGAAGCCCAACACACACAATTAGTTATAACAGTCCCCCAGTCACTATTATCGTGAGGCACAACCTTCACTATCTTCCTGCCGGTAATTATTTATTTTTCCTGCTGTTAATAGATCCAATACAATGTGCCTCAGGACAGGAAAATTGCGATATATATATATGCTCGTCCACGCTGAGCCCGTCCCCAGTCTGCATGAGGATGGACTGGGGACAATAGTTTCTTTATGAAACAAAACTATGAAACAATAGTTTCTTTAGTTTCTTCGTGAACATCAGTCATCCAGAGTCAGAGCCAAGTGATCTCTCTTTAAGACAGTCATCTAAACACTACCCGCCCCATCACCATCGGAATGATTGTGTTGAGTGATGAAGCTAATTCAGTCATCTGTTGGTTACTGAGTCGTCGTCACTTGCCATAAGAAACCATTCATATGTCATCCGCTCATCACAGACCACTCAACTCGTTACTAACATTGACTTTG